TGCCACTCATGCGGGGCAGGGGCGGGTGGAGATCCGAGCCCGGGTGCCTCGCCATTGCTAGTATTTTTCCGGGCAGCAGAGACGTGAGCCTGGGTCAGGGGCGATCAGCGGTGGGGCCGCCGCAGGAGGTGGGGAAGGCAGCTGGGATCGATAGGGGATTAAGTTGGGCTTTTTAACAGCCGGTCCGGACGCATGAAATCTGTAACCATCAATAGCACGTCTAGGAAACGAGTCATAAACCGATGCTGGCGCGGAACCTCGGTGCGTTTAAGGGGCAGTGAGCAGCCGGTCCTCCCGGAGCCGTTCTGGGCTCAGCCCAGCTCCAGCCCCAGCCCCTCCGGCTGCCTGGCTGCCGCGGAGGGAGGAGCCCATGCGGATACATCACTTACGACGGAGGCCACCGCTGAGTGGGGCCGCCCTCAGTGTTGTCCTTCTGTGGTTTGGACAAATGTGAAGTGACCCGTGTCCACCGTCCCAGTCTCATTCGGAGCAGTTTCCCCCCGCCTGGCTCTCCTGCTGCACCTGTGCGCCCCCATCCCGGCACCAGGGGTCCCGCTGTCCCCACAGCTCGGCCTTTTCCAGCCCCCGAGTTGGAACCACACAGTGTAGCCTCCGAAGGCTGCTTCTGGCCTCGACCGTCCCTCCCTGCCGGTTCGGGTGGCTGCTCAGGTCTCCGAATGTCCTGAGCGCTGGGCCTTCACCACGGGCCGCTTCTTTACCCATCGCCCCGGAGGCCATCGCGGTGGCTCCAGGCCTCGGCGGTGATGATGAGCGGCTGTAAGCACATGTGCAGGCTGTTTGTGGGTATGACTTTTCAGCTCCTTTGGGTAAAGACCAAGGAGCACAATTGCTGGGTCCGACGGCGAGAAACCACCGCCTGCCTGGCCAGGCGCCTGCACCCTCTGCGTCCCCAGCACAGAGCCACCCGCTGCCCCGCGCCCGCCCCGCACTGGGGGGCGGGGGGGTGTCAGGGTGTGCTGCTGTCAGAGGTTCTGTCACTGCCTTCCTCTCATCCAAAAGGCTGTGGCCCACTGTCCCTGCTGCTTAGATTTTCCTGGGTCCTCACCAGAAAAAATATTTTCCATTGATTTTTTTTTTTTTTTTTTTAGAGAGAGTGGAAGGGAGGGAGGTGTGTGTGTGTGAGAGAGAGAGAGAGAAAGAGAGAGAGAGAGAGAGGAGAGAGAGACGTGGATGTGAAAGAGATACATCAATTGGTTGCCTCCCACACTTGCCCCGACCAGGGCTGGGGATTGAACCTGCAGCCCAGGTACGTGCCCTGACGGGAACTGAACCAGCGACCCTTTGGTGCCTGGAGGACGCCCAACCAGCTGAGCCACACCAGCCAGGGCGTGGGGCTCTGCTCTTTCCTGCCTGCCTGGCACCTGCAGGCTGTGTTGAATGGGGAGGGGGGAGCGGGCATCCGTGTCTTGTTCCTCATCTTAGAGGGGAAGCTGTCCTCTCCCGCCGAGTCGGGTCAGGGCGGCCTCCATCGCGTTGAGGACGTTGCCCCCTACCCTCGCCTACTGAGTCTTTGGGTTATGAGAGTGGCTGGGTTTTGTCGGATGCGTTTCTGCTCCCACGGGGATGATTAGGTGCGCTCCCCGCCCCCCCTCCTGCTAATGCGCTGCAGGACGTCGTGGAGTGAGTTCTGTTTGCTGCCTCGCCTTGGGATCTGCTGGGCTCACACAGTCAGAAAGGCTGCCAAGTCAGCTGCTCCTTTTGTCCTGAGTTTCGTGAGCGGGTTCACAGGCCACACGGACGCGGCGCTCCCCTTCTGGTGATGCCGTCTCTTTTGAGTTCGGAGAGTTTCGTAGACAAGTCCTTTGCTAATATTGTCTTCCATTCTGTGGCTGGAAGGGTTACTGTTAATGAAGTCCGGTTTACCTGTTTCTGCTTATGTTTAGGTCTCTCACACCTAAAATCTCTGTGCCTCCGTCCTGGTCACAGCGATGTTCTCCCGGCCTTTCTTCCAAAAATTGTATAGTTTTAGGTTTATATTTAAGCCTATGACTCATCTTGAGTTCGTTTGTAAATAAATCGTGAGGTTTGTGTCAGGGTTTTGTTGGTTTTTATTGCAGTTGGAAATGGACAGAGTCCCCAGTCATCCACGGCCATGGGCGGACGGAGCTTGGGGAGGTCGGCTGGACTTTGACCTGAGCATAATTGACAGCACAGACACAGGTGGGCCGCGTCGTAGAGGGAATCGGCAGCATTACATGCTCAGGATAGAAAAGAAAAGCGATGGCCTTTTAAGAAACTAGAAAAAGGGACGCTAAGTACAAAGCCAGCAGAAGAAGGGAAATGACAAAGATAAGAGTAGAAATCAATGACACTGAAAACAAACACATAAAAAAATATAGGGGAAAAAAATCAATGAAACCAAAAGCTGTTTCTTTGAAAAGATCAATAAAATGGATAAACCTCTGACCAGACTGACCAAGGCAAAATGAGGACAGATACAACTTACAGGTATGCGGGTGGGAGAGGCGTTGTCACAGGCGTGGGGACATCGTCGCTGCCCACCAGGCCGTACTGGACATCGAACCGGAAATAGCCCCTCGGCGGACAGGCTACTCCACTCGGAAGGAGCCTGAGCAGCCAGTCCGGCCTGCGCTGGGCAAGCTACTTCCCGGCGAAGTCTGGCCACAAGCCCTGGCTGTGGGGCTCGATGGTTGGAGCTGCGGCCTACGCCGGTGCACCGAAGGGTCCCGGGTTCGATCCCAGGCCCAGGGCACATACCTGAGCGGCAGGTTCGACCCACCAGGTGCAGGAGGCGGCCCTTCCCTCCCTCTCTTCCACTCTCTCACAATCAGCGAGCATTAACAATAACAACAACCAAATTCTGTCCAACGAAGAACACTCCTGGCCCCATGCCTTCCGCGGGAAGGGTCCGTATCAGTCTCATGCAATCTGTCGCACAACATGAGAGGCAGGGAGCCCTCCCCACGGGGACAGCATTCCTGTGGGACCGGACCCAGAGGCCCCTTCGCCGCCCCTATGGACAGGGCTCCCTGCCGGGTGTCACGCGACTCAGGACGTCCACAGTGAACCTTCTCGCTGGGGACACTTTCCCGCGGCTCTTTCTGTGCCCGCGCTCATCTGAGAGGACAGACAGTCCCCCCTGACCGGGGGGAGCCGTGCACCAGGGCCTCCCCCGCCCTCCCGCCCCCCCCC